TTTTTCGCATTAATCATCATCGCCTAGTGTGAAACTACTAATCTCCTTCAGCTTATTTCAGTTTCCTCCAATGCCCGCATATAATTCATTTTATTTAATAGCAACGAATTAATTCAATAGAACCCGAGATATCCCCTTCCCAGACGCATAGTTCGATTTTTGAGGGCGAGGGGCTAGCTGGGAGGTCACAGGTCAACGGGGATGCTTTTAAGGGAAAAGAACGAATTTGTTTTTGTTTCGGTGCGAGCTGAGCGTGAACGCTCCAAAGTGGAGATTCATTTGTTGAATTTTTTTTTGTTGTTGCAGACTGATACGTGGATGGGGTTTTTGTGAGGACTGTTGATGCGATTTCGGGCGAATCAAAAACGTAAATTCTCTTTTTCAGGAGCGATTTGATCAAAGGAAATATTTCATTAAATGTTTTTAGTGGTTCTAATAAAATTTCCGCTGGATGAAATGGGATATTCCTGAGTTTTTTATTACTTCAAAGGGAGCAAGGGTGCATTTTTCTTTGTAATTCACATACTTTGAGGAGAGGAAGGTTGAAGAAATGTGTTGGAGATGGTGGTTAAGTAAATGCGGAAGTAAAGGCGGCTGAGGTTTTTATTTGTAGTGGCTGTAGTAAAGTTTATAGGGGAAGCTTGGTAGTTAGGGGGTTGAATTCCTGACAGGATATAAAGGACGGTGGCTGAGGTTTAAAATGGAACAAAAGTGATTTTAAATTTCTGTTACAGTTAGACAGAGAAACAATAAAATTAACATAAATAAAATCTGGTAGAAAATATTTTAAGCATGTGATCATAAATTATTCTTGAACAACGACAAAATGATGTTCTAGCATCATAAAAGCAACAAATATACGTACATTTTTAATGACTCCAGGAATTTCGTTAAGACGACTGTAAAAATAGTAAAATTTCTGGAGCACTGAAAATCTCAAATACTGTATCAAACTACTCTAAATGTGCAAGAAATTCTAACATTTGTAAAAATGGAATAAAGAATATAGACGCTCGAACGGTCTGCCATGTTCGTCCTTTGCGTCCTTTTCGTAATTTTCGTCCTTTCCGTCATTTCGTAATTTTCGTCCTTCTCTTCATTTTCGTCCTTTTCATTCTTTTCGTAATTTTCGTCCTTTCCGTTATTATCGTAATTTTTCCTTTTCGTCCTTTTCGTCATTTTTGTCTTTTACGTCCTTTTGGTCCTTGTCTCATTTTTCATCCTTTTGGCCCTTTTCTCACTTTGCGTCCTTTTGGTCCTTTTCTCACTTTTCGTACTTTTCGTCCTTTTCGTCATTTTCGTCCTTTTCGTCTCTTTCTCCATTTTCGTCCTTTTCATCCTATTCTCAATTTTTGTCCTTTTCGTCCTTTTAACCTCCTTTTGGTCCTTTTCGTTCTTAGGGTCCTTTTAGTCCTCTTCGTCCTTTTCGTTCGTTTCGTCATATTTTTCATCCTTCTGGTCGTTTCGGGCTTTTTCGTCCTTTTCGTCCTTATGGACCTTTTCGTCTTTTTGGTCCTTTTCGTCCTTTTCGTCATTTTGGTGCTTTTCGTCCTTTTTGTCCTTTTTCTACGAAGGACGAAAGACGAAGGGCGAAAAGGACAAAGGACGAAGGGCGGAGGACGAAATACGAAGGACGAAAAGGACGAAGTACGAAAGGCGAAGGACGAAGGACGAAGGACGAAAAGGACAAAGGACAAAGGACGAAAAGGACCGAAGGACGAAAGACGAAGGACGAAGGACTAAGGACCAAGGACGAAAAGGACCAAAGAGACGAAAAGGACGAAAATGACGAAAAGGACGAACGACGAAGGACGAAAAAGACGGAGGATGAAGGACGAAAAGGATGAAGGACGAAGGACGAAGGACGAAGGTAGAAAAGGACGAAGGACGAAGGACGAAGAACGAAAAGGATGAAGAACGAAAAGGACGAAGGACGACGGACGGAGGACGAAAGACAAATGACGAAAAGGACGAAGGACGAAAGACGAAGGACGAAGAGGACGAAGGACGAAGGACGAAAAGGAGGAAGGACGAAAAGGACGAAGGACGAAAAGGACGAAGGACGAAAAGGACGAAGGACGAAAAGGACGAAGGACGAAAAGGACGAAGGACGACAAGGACGAAGGACGAAAAGGACGAAGGACGAAAAGGACGAAGGACGAAAAGGACGAAGGACGAAAAGGACGAAGGACGAAAAGGACGAAGGACGAAAAGGACGAAGCACGAAAAAGACGAAGTACGAAAAGGGCGAAAAGGACGAAAAGGATAAATAGGATGAAAAGGATAAAAAGAACGAAAAAGATAAAAGGGATAAACAGGTTTCGTCCCTTTCGTCTTTTTCTCCATCTTCGTCCTTTTCATCCTTTTCTCCATTTTCGTCCTATACGTTCTTCTCGTAATTTTCCTCCTTTTCGTCCTTTTCTTCGTTTTCGTCCTTTTCGTCCTTTTCATCCTCTTCGTCTTTTTAATCCTTTTGGTCCTTTTAGTCCTTTTCTTTCATTTCGTCATTTTCGTCCTTCTGGTCTTTTTTGTCTTTTTCGTCTGTTTTGTCCTTTTCGTCCTTTTCATCCTTTTCGTCCTTTTCATCCTTTACGTCCTTTTCGTCCTTTTTGTCCTTTTCGTCCTTTTAATCTCCTTTTGGTCCTTTTCGTCCTTTTGGTCCTTTTAGTCCGTTTCGTCCTTTTCGTTTGTTTCGTCATTTTCGTCCTTTCTGTCTTTTTTGCCCTTTTCGTCCTTACGGTTCTTTTCGCCCTTTTGGTCCTTTTCATCCTTTTCGTCATTTTGGTGCTTTGCGTCCTTTTCGTCCTTTTCTTACTTTTGGTACTTTTGGATCTTTCGGTCCTTTCCGTCCTGTTTGTCCTTTTCCTACGAAGGACGAAAAGAACAAAGGACGAAGGACGGAGGACGAAATACGAAGGACGAAAAGGACGAAGTACGAAAGACGAAGGACGAAGGACGAAAAGGATGAAGAACGAAGGACGTAGGACGAAAAATGACTCACGAAAGGGACGAAGGACGAAGGACGAAAGACGAAGGACGAAGGACGAAAGACGAAGGATGAAGGACGAAAGACGAAGGACGAAAAGAACGAAGGACTAAGGACCAAGGACGAAAAGTAAGAAAAGGACGAAAGGACGAAAAATACTGAGGACGAAAAGGATGAAAAGGACAAAGGACGAAGGACGAAGGACGAAGGACGAAAAGGACGAAGGACGAAAAGGACGAAGGACAAAAAACGGAGGACGAAAAGAACGAAGCGCGAAAGACGAAGGACGAAGAAAACGAGGGACCAAGGACGACGGACGAAAAGGACAAAAGACGAAGGACGAAAAGGGCAAAGGACAAGGAAGAAGGACGAAGGACGAAGGACGAAGGACGAAGGACGAAGGACGAAGGACGAAGGACGAAGAACGAAGGACGAAGCACGAAAGGACGAAGGACGAAAGGACGAGGGATAAAGGACAGAGGACGAAGGCCGAAAAGGACGAAGGACGAGAGTCGACGAACGAAGGACGACGGACGAAAATTACTAAAAAGACGAAAAGAACAAAAAGGACAAAAGGGACGGAGGACGAAAGGAACAAAGGACGAAGGTGGAAAGACGAAGGACGAATGGGACGAAGGACCAAGGCGCCAAAGACGAAGGACGAAAAGGACGAAGGGCGACGGACGGAGAGGACGAAGGACGAACGACGAAGGACGAACAACGAAAGACGAAGGACAAAAAGGACGAAGGATGAAAGATGAAAGACGAAGGACTAAGGACTAAGGACGAAAACGACGAGAGTGACGAAGAGGACGAAAAGGGCGGAGGACGAGAAGGATGAAGGACGAAGGACGAAGAACGAAGAGGACGAAGGATGAAGGATGAAGGACGAAAAACGGAGGACGAAAAGGACGAAGGACGAAAGATGAATGACGAAGGACGAAGGACGAAAAGGACGAAGGACGAAAAGGACGAAGGACGAAAAGGACGAAGGACGAAAAGGACGAAGGACGAAAAGGACGAAGGACGAAAAGGACGAAGCACGAAGGATGAAAAGGACGAAGGATGAAAAGGACGAAGGACGAAAAGAACGAAGGACGAAAAGAACGAAGGACGAAAAGGACGAAGGACAGAGAACGAAGGACTGAAGACGAAGGACGAAGGACCAAGGAACAAAGACGAAAAGGGCGAAAAGGACGAAAAGGACGAAAAAACGAAAGAGACGAAAAGGATGAAAAGGATGAAAAGGATGAAAAGGATGAAAAGGATGAAAAGGATGAAAAGGATGAAAAGGATGAAAAGGATAAAAAGGACAAAAAAGATAAAAGGGATAAAAAGGTTCCAAAAAATTTAAGGATTCTAAAAATATAAAGGATCTAAAGAATCTAAATCATCTAAGGGATCTAAGAGGTCCAAAGTATCTAAACGATCTAGAGAATACAGAGGGTCTAAAGAATCTAAAGCATCTAAGGGTTCTAAAAGATCTAAAGGATCTAAAGGCTCTAAAGGATTTAAAAATTCTAGATTTATAGATGCTAATGTTCAAAAATTTCTAAAGGATCTGAAGCATTCAAAGGGTCTAAAGGATCCAAAAGATCTGAGAGGTCTAAAGGATCTAAAGGATCTAAATGATCTAAAGGTTCTAAAGGACCTAATGTATCTAAAAGATAAAGGGTCGACAATATCAAAAGGATCAAAGTTATCAACAGGATCAAAATGATCTATAGGACCTACATTATACAAAGAATTTAAAAGAACCAAAAGATCTAAAATTTCTAAAGGATGAAAATGTTCTAAATGATCTAAAGAATAAAAAGGATGAAAAGGATGAAGAAGATGAAGAGGTTGGAGGATGAAGCAGACGAGGAGGACGAAAAAGATAAAAGAATAACGAGGATGAAAATGTTGAAAAGGACGAAAAGACGAAAATGATGAAAAGAATAAAAATGATGAAAAGGATAAAAAGGATCCAAAGAATCGCAACGATCAAAAGGATCGAAAAGATCGAAAGGACCAAAAGGATCTAGAATATCTAAAGGATCTAAAGGATCTAAAGGATCTAAAGGATCTAAAGGATCTAAAGGAGCTAAGGGATCTAAAGGATCTAAAGGATCTAAAGGATCTAAAGGATCTGAAGGATCTAAAGGATATAAAGGATTTAAAGGATGTAAAGGAGCTAAAGGATCTAAAGGATCTAAAGAATCTAAGGGATTTAGAGGATCTAAAGGATCTGAAGGATCTAAAGGATCTAAAGGATCTAAAGAATCTAAGGGATCTAGAGGATCTAAAGGATCTAAAGGATCTAAAGGATCTAAAGGATCTAAGGGATCTAAAGGATCTAAAGGATCTAAAGGATCTAAAGGATCTAAAGGATCTAAGGGATCTAAAGGATCTAAAGGATCTAAAGGATCTAAAGGATCTAAAGAATCTAAAGAATAAAAAGAATCAAAAGGATCAAAAGGATCAAAATTGTGAAGAGGATCAAAAGCATCAATAGGATCAAAAGGATTAAAAGTATAAAAATTCTCAAAAGAATCAAAATGACCAAAAGGATGAAAAGGATCTAAAGGATCAAACAATTATATTTATGTACATGACCAAAAGGATTCAGAGAATCTAGATTCTCGAGATTCTATATATATATATATTAGTGATTCTAAACCTACTAGGTAATGATCTAAAGATTGTGGAGATTCTAGAGATTTTAAAGATGCCGAAGATTCCAAATATAAGAAAAATCAAAGAATAAAAATTATCTTATTAATTGTGAAGGTGTTAAAAATGCTACAAATCCATCAAATTTAAAGGCACCACAGCGAATCTGAAGATATCGAAAAATCCGAAGAGATCAAAGTTTAGAAGAATCCAAAATTTCTAAAGTTTCTAAATATTTTGAACAATTTGAAGACTGGTAAAGTTGTTAAGACACCAAGGATTAGTTAAGGTTCCAAAGAACTCCAAAAATAGATAGGTTAGAAAAATTACAGAAATTTCAAAAATCTCGGAGACTTGTATCAAAATTAACATTGAAACAGTGAATAAGCATCACTTTATTGAAGATAATTTTCGCAAAAATCAGCTTGCGGTTACATTTTTAATCCAGTCGATATAATAATACGTCCTTGTATATCCCGAAGGATCAGTATTTTCACACCCATTTGCACTCATAAAACTGGAAATACCAACAATGGTCGGAGTGCCCCACAGAGTTTGGTGGTCAATTAGCGGACTTCCTGTGTCACCCTTTAATTGTATAATACTGTCTGTTTAGTAACATAATTAACAAAAAGAAAAAAAAAAAGAACTCACAATACAAATACCTTCGTTGTAATTTCCAGCAGCACATATCATGGTTTCAGTAATCTGATTACCGTAAACCGTTCTACATTCCTCATTTGACAAACTTGTCAGAACAACATTCTGAAGGACATTTGAAAGTTGTGCATCAGCTAGAAAAAAAAAATACACATTGAAAAAGTTATTATTTTTGTTAAATACGAACTGTCACTAGTTTGGCCCCATCCAGTTGAAATAACGAGTTCACTCTCTTGTGTCGCCCTTATGGGCAAATTGATTGGTCTGATATAATCTAAATTAAGAAAATAAATCAATCAAGTGATAAAATTTACAAAAACTACACTCACCAGTGTATTGTATGGGCATTCGAAATTTGATGAGCCCGATGTCGTTTGTGATAGTATTAGGATTAAAATCCGGGTGGATAATGTATTCAGAAGTGGCGACAGTCTCTCGGCTAGGATCTTCACCTTCTAGCTTAGCAGAGCCCAGTTGAATTGTGAACAGGATGGCACTAAATTTATCAAAATGAGAATTTTTGCCACTTTTTAGACAGGATAATACTTGTAAACGCAGTGCCCGGAAGTGAGGACCCACTCCTGGTTGTAAAGCGTTCCTCCGCAGAAGAACTTGCTGTCTTCGGTTTGTACATATATGTATTGCCACAATGTACGGAAATTTGCCAGTTAGTGTATTAACACCGCCCACGATTCTGCCTTTTTAAGGATTAGTTATAAGTTATAAATTATCATTATTTGTTTTTGTTTTATACCCTTATCAGTGGACAAAGTTGAAGCGGTCTGAAATGGCTTAGTTATAAAATATTCTGTATAAAATTAAAAAAAAAGGTTACCTTGATGGTGAGCACGCTCAAGAAGTGTAAAAGCAGCAACAAAACGTTTGAAGTCGAATTCATTTTTCTAGAAAATGCTGGGTTTGGTGTCGAATTGTGGAGATTATTGTCAACGCAGTAAAAAAATAATTAAGAGATCAAAAAGTTATAGGCTGTTAATCCGACACTATATAGAAGTAAATAGCTACAGATTCAGATAATTCGTTAAAATTGCCATTTCATCTTGAAACGTTAGTCAAGAAATTAACAATTTGATTCATGTAAGTATGAATATAGGAATGGACTAATGATGGTTTGACACTTTAAATTTTTTGTATACTTTTGTAAACATAAATGGGCTAACTATTGTGTTGCGGTACAAAAATTTTGTAGATTCTAAGATTCCGAAGAATCCGAAGATTTCCAAGATTTGAAGAGTCTGAAGATCCAAAGGATTCCGTGAGCTCTGAAGATTCTGGGGATTCTGGTAATTTTGGAAATTCTGAGAATTCTGAGGATTATATTTATTGAGATTTTTATGTATCTGAGAAATTCTGGATATTCGACGAATTCTGGGAATTTTTGGGATTCGGAAGATTCGGAGGATTGTTAAAGTGTTGAGGATTAAAAACTGAACAGTAAAAATTCTTAAGATTCAGAGGATTTTGAAGATTCTGAAGGTTATGAAAATTCTAAACAATTTGAGGATTCCGAAAATTCTAAAGATTCTGAATACTCTGGAGTGTCTTGGGATTTTTGGTATTCTGTGAATTCTCGTGATTTTGGGATTTCCGGTCATTTTAGCGATTCTGGAAATCTACGGATTCTGGGATTTCTGGAAATTCTGGGGATTTTGGAGATTCTGCGGATTCTGGGGAATTTGGAAACTCTGGGGCTTCTGGAAATTTTGTATATTTTGAGGATTCCGGGGATCATGAGGATTATGACGATTCTGAACCTTTTGAACATTCTGTGGATTCTAACGATTTTGGAGTTCTTGGGGTTTCTGGGGATTTGAGCATTATGTAGGGGAATTCCGGAGGTTTTTTGGATTTTGCGAATTTTGAAGATTCTGGGGATTCCAAGGATTCTGGAGGTTCTGAAGATTCTGAACATTTTGAATATTCTACGTATTTTAGGATTTCTGGAGTTTCTGAGAGTTCTGGGGCTTTTGGGGTTTATAAGGATTCTGAGTATCCTGAGGATTTTGAACATTTTGAACACTCTGAAAGTTCGGAAGAATTTGGGGATGCTAGAAATGCTCTGAGTTCTGATGATTTTGGCGATTCTGAGGTTTTTGACGATTCTGGGAAATTTAGGCATTTTGGTGATTCTGGGAATCTACGGATTTTGAGGAAGATTTTGAAGATTCTGTGGATTCTGGGGATTATGCAAATTTTGAGGATTCTGGGAATTTCGCATATTCTAGGGATTCTGGTAATTCTTTGTTGGCTGGAGATTCCAAAAATATAGCGTATTTGGGGTCACAGAGCAATATTTTCGAAAAATTCCGATTAAAATTCGAATTTTTTAGAATTTTTAAAAATTGCGATATATCAATTGGTAATTCTGGAAAAACGGTTAGAGTTATCGAAGAAATGAGGTCAGAAGTAATTTTTGTGACCTGAAATCTACCAGTATGTATTCAGTTAAATTTCGAAAATCGTTGAAAATGGGTAGAAATTTGTATAACATTGTAGAAAATTTCATGGTGTTTGGAGAATTCGAAAGATTCAGAGAATTCTGAGTGTTCTGAAGATTATGAACAATTTGAAGATTCCGCAATATGTGAAAATTCCGAGGATTCTGGGGATTGTGTGATTTCTGGGGATTGTGTGATTTCTGGTGATTCTGCAAATGCGATTCTGGGAATCTACAGATTTTGGGATTTCTGGGGATTGTGAAGACTTTGGGAATTCTGGAACTCCTGGAGAACCTGTGGATTTTAGAGATGCTGAGGATTCTGAGGATTGTGGAGATTCTGAGGATTCTGGAAAAGTTGCAGCGTCTGCAAATCTAGGGATTCCGGGAATTCTGAGGTTTATGGGGATTTTGAGTATTCTGAGGATTCTGAGCATTTTGAAACTCTAAAAATTCGTGGGAATCTCTGGATTCTATGGATTTTGGAATTCCTGGGGTTGCTGAAGAGTTTTTGGAATTATGAGGATTCAGAAGATTCGAAGGATTCGCAGGATTTGGAGGATTCGGTAAATTCGGAGCATTTTGACAATTTTCTGGGGATTCTGGGAATTCTGGAAGTTCTAAATATTGGGCTTCTTGGGATTACAGAGGTTCTATGATTTCAGGACACCTTGGTGGTTCTGGGAATCTATGTATCTGGGATTTTTGTATTTCTGAAGATTTTGCGAATTCTGAGGATTTTGGAATTTTTTATATTCTGTAATTTCTGCAAGATTGTTGAGATCCCCCCAGGGATTCTGGAAATTCTGGAGTATTTTATGAACATTTTGAACACTTTGACTATTCTAGGGATTCTGGGAATTCTTGGGATTCGGTGGATTTTAAGAATTCTGTGAATTACATTCTGAACCTTCCTAACATTTTGAACATTCTGAGACTTTTAATGATTCTGATGATTTGGAAACTTTTGAATATTCACAGTGATCGGAAATTCCCGAAAAGTCGAATAATTTCTGAAAATTCAGGTGTTCCTGGAGATTTTTAAAGAATTCTGCTGCTTCTGAAGACTCTGGAAATTCTGGAGTTTCTGAAAATCTATGGATTTTGGAGATTCTGATCATTCTGGAGATTCAGAAGATTCTGAACATTTTAAACATTTTGAACATTATGGGGATTCTGGTGATTCTGGGAATTCTACGAATTTTGGGGTTCCAGGGGTTTCTGGGGACTCTGGAAATTCTTGGTATTCGGAAGATTTGTAAGATTCGGAAGTTTCTGAGAATTCTAACTATTATATTCTGAACACTTTGAACATTCTAAGGATTCTGAACGTTCTGAACAATTTGAAGATTTCGTGAGATTCGAAAATTCCGAGGATTCCGAAGATTTTCTGAGAATTCTGTGAATTCTGATGATTCTGCTAATTTTGGAAATTTACAGATCTTGGGTTTTTTAGGATTTCTGGGGATTGTGAAGATTCTGGGAATTCTGGAGATTTTGGAGAATCTGTGGATTTTGGAGATTCTGAACATTTTGAAAATTCGGGGGAATCTGGGAATTCTAGAAATGCTCTGAGTTCTTGTGATTTTGGGGCTGTTGGGGTTCCTGGGGATTGTGCGAATTCTTTGTTTCTGGGAATTTTTGGGATTCTGGGGATTTGGGGAATTCAGAAGATTCCAAAAATTCGAAAGATTCGGAGAATTTAGAGGATTCGAAAGATTCGGAAGAGTTGGAGTATTCTGAGTATTTTGGTGACTCTGGGGATTCTGAAAGTTCTAAATAATCTGGGGCTTCTTGGGGTCCTGGTGATTCTGTGAATTCTGGGTATTTTGATGATTCTGGGAATCTGCGGTTTCTGGGATTTTTGGTTTTCTGAAGATTTTGAAGATTCTGTGCATTCTGAGGACTATGGGACTTCTGGGGTTTCTGGAAATTCTGGAATTTTGGAGATTCTATGGTTTTTGGAGATTCTCAAGATTCTAAGAATTCTCGAGATTCTGAAGCTTCGGGAATATTCTGAGGATTCTGAATATTGCGAACATTTTGAACTCTGGGAATTCTGGGCATTTTACTGATTCTGAGATTCTACGGATTTGTAGATTTCTGGAGTTCCTGGGTGCTTTGAGGAATTTTGCGGATTCTGAGGAGTCTGGAAATTCTGGTGATTTGGAGAATTTGTGGATTTTGAAGATTCTGAGGATTCTGAAGATTGTGGAGATTCTGAGGATTGTGGGAATATTGCAAATTCTGTGGAATCTGGGGATTCTGGGAATTCTTAGGGTTTATGGGGTTTTTGAGTATCCTGAGGATTCTGAATATTTTGAACACTCTGGGATTGCTGGGGTTCCTGGGGATTGTGGGAATTGTTAGTTTCTAAGAATTTTTAGGATTCTAATGATTCGGGGAATTCAGAAGATCCGAGGGATTTGGAGAATTTGGAGGATTCGGAGGATTCCAAAGATTCGGAAAATCCGAAAGATTCTGAGGATTTTGATGATATTTTTGAGGATTCTGAAAATTTTGGAAGTGCTGAATATTCTGGGGCTTCTTGAGATTCTGTGAATTCTGGGCATTTTGGTGACTCTGGGAATCTACGGATTACGTGAATTCTAAGGTTTCTTGAAATTCTGGGGTTTTGAAGATTCTGCAATTTCTGGGGATTCACGAGGTTTTGGTAATTTTGCGGGGTCTGGAGTTTCCAGGATTCTGAGATTTCGGAGGATTTTGAACATTTTTAACACTCTGAACATTCTGGGAATTTCTGGGGCCCGGAAATTTTCAGGATTCTGAGGATTACGTTCGCTCTTAACATTTTAAACATTTTGAGGATTCTAAAGATTTGGAAGGTTTTGAAGATGTTGAAGAATTTAGGATAGGATACCGAATATTTTCTAAGGATTTTGGATTTTCTTGGTATTTTGTAAATTCTGGTGATTCTGGGAATTCTGGAAATGCCATGAGTTCTGGTGGTTCTCAACAACTTGAAGATTACGCGAGATTCAAAGATTTCGAGGATTCTGAAGATTTTCTAAGAATTCTGTGAATTCTAATGATTCTGTCAATTTTGAACATTTTAGCGATTCTGGAAATTTACAGATCTTGGGATTTCTAGAATTTCTTCTTCCTTTATGGGGATTCTGAACATTTTGAACTCTCTGAAAATTCGGGGGAATCTGGAATTCTAGAGATGCTCTGAGTTTTGATTTTGGGGTTCCTGGGGATTGTGCGAATTCTTGGCTTCTGGAAAGTTTTGAGATTCTGAGGATTCGAGGAATTCAGAAGATTCCGAAGATTCGAAAAATTCGGAGAATTTGGAGGATTCGAGAATTCGGAAGAGTTGGAGTATTCTCAGTATTTTGGTGATTCTGGGGATTCTGAAAGTTCTAAATAATCTGGGGCTTCTTGGGGTTCTGGCGATTCTGTGATTTCTGGGTATTTTGATGATTCTGGGATTTTTGGGTTTTTGAAGATTTTGAAGATTCTGCGCATTCTGAGACTTCTGGGGTTTCTGGAAATTCTGGGATTTTGGAGATTCTGTGGTTTTTGGAGATTCTCGAGACTCTAAGAATTCTCAAGATTCTGGACCTTCTGGAGTATTCCAGAGATTCTGGGGATTCTGAGGATTCTGAACATTGTGAAAATTTTGAACTCTGCGAATTCTGGGCATTTTAGTGATTCTGGGAATTTACTATCTATCTATTCTGACGAGTCTGGAAGTTCTGGAGTTCTGGAGAATTTGTGGATTTTGAAGAAGGAATCTGGGTAGTCTAGAGATAATGATTCTACGAATTTTGGGACTGCTGGGAATTGTGGGATATGCTAGTTTCTAAGAATTTTTAGGATTTTGAGGATTCTGATAATTCTGGAAGTGTTGAATATTCTGGGGCTTCTTGAGATTCTGTGAATTCTGGGCATTTTGGTGAATCTGGGAATCTACGTATTACGGGAATTCTAAGGTTTCTGGAAATTCTGGGGTATTGGAGATTCTGCGGTTTCTGGGGATTTACGAGATTTTGGTAATTTTGCGGGCTCTGGAGTTTCCAGGATTCTGTGTTTTAGGAGGATTTTGAACATTTTGAACATTTTTAACACTCTGAACATTCTGGGAATTTTAGAGATCCTGAAGAGTTCACGGAATCTATGGATTCTGGGAATTTTTGGGACTCTGAGGATTACATTCGCTCTTAACATTTTGAACATTCTGAGGTTTCTGAAGATTCGGAAGATTTTGAAGATGTTACCGAATATTTTCAGAGGATTCTGGATTTTCTTGGCATTCTGTAAATTTTGGTGGTTTTGGGAATTTTGGGTATTTCGACACTTCTGGGAGTCTACTGATTTTGCGGTTTTTGGGCTAATTGAGGATTCTGAAGACTTTGTGGATTTTGAGAACTCTAAAAATTCTGGAGTTTTTGGAAAATCTTGGGATTTGTGCATTCTGGGGATTTCGGCGATTTTTTGGATTCTATGGATTTGGGATTTCTCAAGATCTTGAAGATTCTGTAGACACTCGGAATTCTGAGATTTCCGGAAATTCTGCGATTTTGGAGATCTTGCGCTTTCTGGGGATTTCCGAGATTCCGGGAATTGTTGAGATTCTGAGACTTCTGGAAATTTTGCAGTTTCTCACGATTTCAGAGCTTCTGGAGATTCGGAGGATTTTGAACATTTTGAACATTTTCAACACTCTGAGGGGAATTTTCGGAACTCGGGGGATTTTCAGGATTCTGGGGATTACATTCGCTCTTAACATTTTGAACATGTTGAGGATTCTGAGGATTCTGAAGATTCAGAAACCTTTGAAGGTTCTGACCAATTTGAATATTTAATGGGTGATCCGAAAATCCCTAGGAAACCGAATATTTTCAGAGGATTCTGAATTTTCTTGGCATCCTGTCAATTCTGGTGGTTCTGGCAATTTTGGGTATTTAACACTTCTGGGAATCTAACCGAATTTGGGATTTCTGTGGTACTTGGGTATTCTGAAGATTTTGGAGATTTTGCGCTTTCTGGGGATTCCCGAGGTTCCGGGAATTGTTGAGATTCTGAGACTTCTGGAAATTTTGCAGTTTCTCACGACTTCAGAGTTGCTGGAGATTCGGAGGATTTTGAACATTTAGAACATTTTAAACACTTTGAACATTCTGGGTATTTTGTGGATTCTGACGATTCAACGGGAATTCTGGGAATTTTCGGATCTCGGAGGATTTTCAGGATTCTGGGCGTTACATTCGCTTTTAACATTTTGAACATTATGAGGATTCTGAGGATTCTGAAGATTCGGAAGGGTTTGAAGATTTTGACCAATTTGAATATTTAAAGGGTGATCCGAAAATCCCTAGGATAGCGAATATTTTCAGAGAATTCTGAATTTTCTTGGCATCCTGTCAATTCTGGTGGTTCTGGCAATTTTGGGTATTTAACACTTCTGGGAATCTACCGAATTTGGGATTTCGTGGTTCTTGGGAATTCTGAAGATTTTGCAGATTCTGGGGCAATTCTGGAGTTTTCGGAGAATCTGGAGATTTGAGCATTCTGGGGATTCCGGAGATTTTTTGGAATCTGCGAATTTTGCAGTTTCTGGGGATTCCAATGATTCTGGAGATTCTGAAGAGTCTGAACATTTTGAATATTTAACGTCTTTTAGGATTTTTGGACTTTCTGGGAATTCTGGGGCTTTTGGGATTTATAAGGATTCTGAGTATCCGAGGATTTTGAACATTTTGAACATTTTTCATTTTGAAGAATCTGTGGATTCCGAGGACTCTGGGAATTTTGAGGTTTCTGGCAATAATGGGATTTTGGAGATCCTGCGGTTTTTGGGGATTTCCAATATTCTGGGAATTTTTGAGATTGTGAAGCTTCTAGGAATATTGCAGTTTCCAACTGACGATTTCAGAATTTCTGGGGATTAGGAAGATTTCGAACAATTTGAATATTTTCAAAAATTTTCAACATTTTCAACACTCTGAACATTCTGTGAATTTTGGGATTTCTGAAGATTGGGAGGATTCTGAAAATTCGGAAGTTTTGAACGTTCTGAACAATTTGAAGCTTTCGAGTGATCCGAAAATCCCTAGGATACCGAACATTTTCTCAGAGGATTCTGGATTTTCTTGGTATTTTGTAAACTCTGGTGATTTTGGGAACTCTGGATATTTTATCATTTGTGAGAATCCGGCAAATTTGTGATTTCTGAGGTTCTTGGGAATTCTGAATATTCTCCGGATTCTGAGGACTGAGGGAAATCTGAGGTTTCTGGAGAATCTGGAGACTTTGAGGATTCTGGCAATTTTGTAGATTCTGAGGATTCCAGGGATTCTGGAGATTCTTAGGTGTCCGGGGATTCTGAAAATTCTGAACATTTTGGACATTATACGTATTTTGAGGTTCCTGGAGTTGCTGGAGATTCTGGGAATTCTGGGGCGTCTGGGGATTTTTGGGATTCGTAGGATTCGAAACACTCGGAGTATTCTGGGCGGATTCTGTAGATGCTGAGAATTTTTGGATTCTGGGGTTCTGGAAATTCAGACATTCCTGGAGATTCTTGGGAATTGGAGGATTCGGACATACGGAGGACTGTGAATATTGTGGCTTCTTGGGATTCTATGGATTCTGGTGATTCTGGTGTTTCTGGTGATTTCAGAGATAAAAAAAAATTTTTTTTTCAAAAATTCTAAATATTCTGAAAATGTAAAATATCCTGGAAGTTTGGTAATTTTGGCTATTCTGGAGACCAAAGAATCTGAAGAATGTAAATTCTTTAAAAACTTTTGAATGTGTTAAATATCTCAACGATTCTAAAGGTCCAAACGACCCTAAAGAGCTCAAAAATTATAGGATTCCAAAAATTTCAGTTTTCGAAAGTTCTGAAGGTTCTAAATATTGAAGAATCGGGAAACTCCAAAAATTTCAGGGTTGTCATGGCTTAAAATAAGATTTAACACTAGCAAAATTTGAATAAAAAATAGAAATTTGTAGTTTTCTATCTTTCGGGCAGTCTTTTCTGAAAAAGCGCCAACTTTTGATAATAAAACCATTAAAACTTTGAACAAACAGCATTTTATTCAAGATAATTTTCGTCAAAATTACGTATTAGTAACATTTTTAATCCAATCCATATAATCATACACCCTTGTATACCCCGACGGATCGGTACTTTCACACCCATTTCCACTAATAAAACTGGTGATACCAAAAAGGCGCGGAGCCCGCCACATACTCACGTAGTCAATCAATGGACCCCCAGTGTCACCCTTGAACAGCATAATCAGCACAAAAAAAATAACAAAAAAAAACTTACAATGCAAGCACCTTCGTTGTAATTTCCCGCAGCACATACCATGTGTTCAGCAATCTGATTACCAAAAGATTCTTTACAGTCCTCATTCGTCAACGCCGTCAGAAAAACATGCTGAAGCTTATTTGAAAGTTGCGGATCACCTAAAAATACAAAAAAACCACAAACTGAAACTATCGTTATTATTTTTTTTAAATACGTACTGTCGCTAGTTTGGCCCCATCCAATCGAAACCAGGAGTTCGCCTGGATTTACCCACCTGAACGGCAAATTGATGGGTTTGATGTAATCTAAATCAACGAAATTAATCAACCGATAAATTAAAAAAAAAAACAACGCACCAGTGTATTTTATTGGCATTCTTAGCTTGATCAGGGCTATGTCGTGCTCGATGGTGTCAGGATTAAACTCCGGGTGGATGATGTACTCAGAAGTGGCCAAGGACACTCGGTTCAAATCTTCACCTTCCAGCAGATCAGAACCGAGATGGATTGTAAAGAGGGCGGCGCTAAATTTATTAATATAAAAATTTTGGAAACATTCTCGACAGGATAATACTTTAAAGCGCAGTGACCGGAAGTGAGGATCCAGTCCTGGTTGTAGAGCGTTCCTCCGCAGAAGAATCTGCCTTCTGGGGTTTGGACATTGATTGCTGCAACGTAAGGGAACATGCCAACGATTGTGTCATTGCCGCCGACGATTCTGCCTTCTGAAAAAATTTGCATTATGAATAATTATTATTGTTGGGTTTTATACCATTGTCGGTGGGCCAAGCTGAAGCACCCTGAAACGGTTTAGTTATAGAAAGTTCGCCATAGAATTATAAATAATAGTTACCTTGGTGGCGTCCAAGAAGTACAAAATTACCAACAAAACGTTTACAGTCGAACTCATTTTCATAGAAACTACTTGTTGTTTGTTTGGTGCCTGGAATTAATAGTGCAAAATAGTGGAGATTATCAGCTAGGTATTAAGGAAATCATTAAGGGATTAAAAAGATATTACGCTTAATCCGACACGATATCAAGTGATAAAATTAACCTAATAAATATTAGAGGTAAGTAGCTAGACTTAGATAATTTCGTAAAATTCGTGACAACTCGAAAATTTGTCATTCAACAAAAATTCTTCTAGAATTTGGAAAAGTAGGTCCTCCATTTCCATCTGTCTCTCTGTTGTCTGTCGTCTAAATTTTCCTGTGTAAAATTCAGGTTTTTGTTTATCTTAGAAAATATATAGCTATGACCGTAATTATTTTTCCTCAACTTTTCTATAAAATTTTAGTAATGTCGAAAACTAATTCCTCGCCTCGCTCGTGATACATAAAATATTTAAATAATTAAATAGATGAAGAAATGAGAAATTCATGAAAATTCTTCCGAGATTATACCTCTGAAATTACTTTTGCCACACCACTGCAAAAACTGGGAAAACATTTTTCAAAAAATTAAAAAAAAATGTGAACGTACTCTGTTCGAATGGGGAGTAGGGAAAACGAAATAAACCCAGAAAAAATGTAATTATCTTGATTGACTTAGGAGAGTCTTGTCCAACTACGAATCGGAAGTCATTTTTGCTCTACCATTCTAGAAATATGAGAAAATATCATCCAAAAATTTTCAAAAAAAAAAGGTGAGCAGCTACAGTATATAGGAAATTTTTGGTAGAAGATAAATTTGAAACCATTGTAACGGTAGTTGTTGGAATTAGTGAAAACACTAAAAATTAATTTTCAAAAATTCCAAAAAAGTTGTAAAGAGCCATAATTATTTTCAAATTATCAGCCTGAAGACATCCTTGCTTTCAGAAAAATGCAAAAAAGTTTTCCAAAAAGTGTTAAAACTGGCTCTATTGGAATGGGAAATGCTTGGTTGAATATACATTTTAAGATATTGTGACTATAATAGTTCAAATGAGCGAGAAAAACTGGAAAATAATTTTCAAATAGATAAGTCCAAAACAAGTTGTAATGGATTAAATTTGAGAAATTTTCTTTAGCCATACCTCTTCTGAAAAATGTCTACATTTTTCAAAAAATATTCAAAAAAATCGAAAAAAGCACAAACGTGGTAAATTCTTCGCTTATTACAAATTTCAGGTTATTATTATTATCGTTGTTTCAATGGCTGAAAAAAAACAGAAAATAATTTTCAAAAAAATTCCAAAAAGTTGTAATAACAGTTTTAATTTAGATAATTATTTATTTTTCTCAGATTACAACTGTGCATTTTCGAAACATTTTTCAAAAAAATGTTGAAACTTCAAATTATTGTTGTAGTTAAAAAAAATAGAAAATAGTTTCCAAAAAAATCAAAAAAACATAAGTGTGTTCATTTATACAATTTTGCTCAGATTGCAAATTTTTATAGATCTTGACGTGCCGATTCCAAAAATATAGCGTATTTAAGGTTACGGAGGAATATTTTCGAAAAATTCGGAGCGAAATTCCAATTTTTTGAAATATTTAAAAATCGCTATTTTCAATGTAGGGTATTTTACAGATTCTGGAAATCTACCGATTTAGGGATTTCTGGGTTTCTTGAAGATTCTGAAGATTTTGCGGATTCTGAGGACTCTGGGAATTCTGGAATTTTTGCAGATTCTAGGGATTCTGGGGATTCTGATGTGTCTGGGATTTTGAACATTCTGAACATACTGAACATTTTGAACATTCTACGTATTTTCGGGTTCTTGGAGTTTTTGGGAATTCTGGGGATTCTTGGATTTATGGGGATTCTGAGTATCCTGAAGATTTTGAACATTTTGAACACTCTGATTTCTGGTGATTTTGGCGAGTATACGAATTTTGGGGTTCCAGGGGTTCCTGGGGATTCTATTGGTTTCTCAGAGTTTTGAGGATTTTGAGTATTCGGGGAATTTAAGAGATCTGACGAATTCGAAGAATTTGGACAATTCGGAGATTTCAAAGAATTCGCTTGATGATTTTCTGGGGATTTTGAGGATTCTGGGAATTCTAGAGGTTTTGGATATTCTGGAGCTTCTTGGGATTTTGGAGATCCTGTGAGTTCTGGGCATTTTAGTGACTCTAGGAATCTACGAATTTTGGGATTTTTGTGATTTCTCGACATTCTGAAGTTCCTGTAGATTCTGAGGACTCTGGGAATTCTGAGGTTTCTGGAAATTCTGGGATTTTGGAAATCCTGCGGTTTCTAGGGATTTCCGAGATTCTCGGAAGGTTAGAGATTCTGAAGCTTCTGGGAATTGTCCAGTTCCTGGCGATTTCAGGGTTTCTAGGGATTCTGAGGATTTTAAACATTTCAACATTTTCAACACTGTGAACCTTCTGGGTATTTTGGGAATTCTGACGACTCCACGGAATTATTCTGGGGTACCTGGGAATTTTTGGGACTCGGGGGTATTTTCAAGATTCTGGGGATTGCATTCGCTCTTAACATTTTGAACATTCTGGAGGTTCTGAGGATCCTGAAGATTCGGAAGGTTTTGAAAGTTCTGAGCAATTTGAAGATTTCGAGTGACCCGAAAATCCCTAGTACCGAATATTTTCAGAGGACTCTGGATTTTCTCGGTATCCTGTCAATTGTGGTGGTTCTGGCAATTTTGGGTATTTTACCACTTGTTGAGGATTCTAAAGAATTTTCGGATTATGAGGACTCTGGGAATTCTGGAATTTTCGGAGAACCTGGGGATTTGAGCATTCTGGGGGTTCCGGAGATTAATTGTATTTTGCGAATTTTGCAGATACTGGGAAACCAGGGATTCTGGGGATTCTGACGATTCTGAATCTTTTGAACAATGTACGTATTTTAGGGTTCCTGGAGTTTCTGGAAATTCTGGAAATTTTGGAGTTATTGGGGATTCTGAGTATCCTGAGGATTCTGAACAATTTGAACACTTGGAAAGTTTGGAGAAAAATGGGGATTCTAGAGATGCTCTGAGTTCTAGTGATTTTGGCGATTCTACGGGACTTTGGGGTTCCTGGGGACAGTGGGAATTTTTAGTTTCTCAGAATTTTTAGGATTCTGGGTATCCAGGGAAATAAAAAAATCCGACGGATTCAAAGAATTTGGATTCAGTAGATTCTGAAAATTTTGATGATTTTTTGACAATTTTGAGGATTTTCGGAATTCTGGAGGCTTTCCAAATTCTGAAGCTTCTTGGGATTCTGGAGATTGTGTGAATTCTGGACATCTTGGTGATTCTGGTAATCTACGGATTTTGGGATTTCTGGGATTTGTCAAGATTTTTTTGGATTCTGTGAATTTCGAGGACTCTGGGAATTCTGAGATTTCTGGAAATTCTGGAATTTTGGAGATCCTGCGGTTTCTGGGGATTTCCGAAATTCTGGAAATACTTGAGACTCTCAGGCTTTTGGCAATTTTGCAGATTCTGACGATTCGACGGAATGATTCTGGGGATTCTAAAAATTTTTAGAACTCGGAGGATTTTGCAGAGTTTTGAAGGTTCGAAACAATTTGAAGATTTCGAGTGATCCGAAAATCCCTAAGATACCGAATATATTCAGAGGATTCTGGATTTTCTTGGTATTCTATCAATTCTGGTGGTTCTGGGAGTTTTGGGTATTTTAACACTTCTGGGAATTTACGGAATACGATATTTCTGGGGTTCTTCTATATTCTGAAGATTTTGCGGATTCTGAGGACGCCGGGAATTCTAGAGGTTTTGCATATTCTGGGGATTTTGTTAATTCTGGGCGTTTTGGTGATTCTGGGAATCTATGGATTTTGGAATTTCTAAGATTTTTACTTCCCGAGCGTAAGCAAAGGAAGTATTGTAATCGAGTCCGTCGGCCGACTCTCTACTTTTACGTTTTCTCGATCTTTCATGACCCCTAGAAGACGAAGAAATAGGTCTCCCATTTCCGTCTGTCTGTCCGTCTGTCCGTCTGTCCGTCCGTCTGTCCGTCCGTCTGTCCGTCCGTCTGTCCGTCCGTCTGTCCGTCCGTCTGTCCGTCTGTCCGTCTGCCCCCGGATTTTTATTAGACAGATAATCTCCGAAAGTACTCGACCGATTGTTGTGAAATTTTGTACTTATATTAAGAATATCATGTAGGTAGATGGTAAAACGCTAACCAAAATTTGTCTAATCATCCCCACCACTAATGCGATGACGTCACTTCAAAATTGTACATAGTAAATGGGTTTTCAATTGTATAAAATAACATAGTCCTACACATGTAGTTTACAATTCTGAATCGACTTTTCACCCGAAACGTCCAGATTTTTGGAAAAAAAATCAAAATTATAAAACAACATTTTGAAATTTAATTTTTAATCTGCTAACCAGAATGCTTTGAAATGTTGCAGATGTTTTAAGGCTATAAAGAGCATCATAAATCTTTAGTCAAAAAATATTTGCTTATCCCCTCCAAAAACTTGATGACGTCAGCTCAAAAGTTTGTGGAATAAATCATATCTAAAATGTACAAAATATGATGAGCCTGTACTTGTCATTTATCACTCCATTCATATTTTTTGGATTTGCATATACAGGGTGACTCAAAAAAATTAATGAATGCGTAAATATATTTTATTGATTTAATCAGGAACTACAAAACCGAATGCTCTGAAATCTTGCAGATGTTTTAAGGTCATAAAGAGCATAATAAATGTTTAGTCAAAATATATTTGCTTATCCCCTCCAAAAACTTGATGACGTCAGCTCGAAAGTTTGCCGAATAAATCATATCTAAAATGTACAAAATATGATCAGTCTGTACTTGTGATCTATCACTCCATTCATATTTTTTGGATTTGCATATACAGGGTGATTCAAGAAAATAAATGAAAGCGTAAATTTATTTTACTGATTTACTCAGGAACTACAAAACCGAATGCTTCGAAATCTTGAAGATATTTTAAAATTATCATAAGCATGGTAAATTTTTGATCAAAACGTATTTGGTCGTACCCCCTAAAAA